GGTCTTCACAACTGGAGCAACATGAACCACTGGAGCCACAGCTTTCACAACAGGTGTAACAATTTGGGCATTATTGTGCACTTGAGTGATGCTCTGGTGTGAGGTGGCAGATGGAACGGTGTGCACAACGGCACCTAATTTGGCCACAACGGGTTGAGCGATGAAACCTGGAGCAGCGGTGGCGATGGCAAAGAGGGCGGCGAATGTGATCTGAAATGGAATTGTAACATTATTATACAACTTTTTTTAGCTAGACCAGTTATTGGGCTTACGTATTTAAACATGATGTTGCTGTTTTGGGTATTGCCTCTGTTGCTTTACAGTGTGAAATGTGGAAGCTAACTGATAAGTTTCTAATGAATTTGTGCGAAATTTATACTACGAGACAATTAGGATCGATCACAGTTGAGTAATAGAATTAGATATTCGCATTGAACTTGAACTTAGATTTTGCACAAGAGACCCGAACAGAATAAATTCACAGTATAAATAACAAATTCACTATTTCTTCAGTAGCACCAAAGTCAATATAAAGGTCAAGTTAATTGTCAAGTTAATTTTATATTGAATTATCTTTTCAGGAGTTATAAGTACGCATTGGAATTGAACATAAATGATTTTTATTTGCCTGAAAGGCAGCAGGTTATTTAATTAGCGCCACCACATATCCATTCAACTGTTTGACATCAAGCACTACTCTACGATGGCTTAATGCAATAACACCGTTAATTATGTACGCATAGTCGGTTTGAAATTCGACATCGGTAATGACATGGCAAGTTTTCTTCACTTCCAATTGATTTTTTTGGCAAGGACATAATATTGCTGTTGGTATATTTGCAGCACACAAGTTTTCTATATTATTTATTTCATGCAAGTTACTTCTAATTGTAGATACCGCCGCCATTTTTCCATAGTTGACATAAATTCATAATCATTTTCACGTCGCAGATATTACTTCTGGCAAATCAGCTGGCATTGTTCAAACTCTTAAGTTAGCATCGGTCAGACTTTAAGTTTAAAGGAGTACACTACAGCATCAAAAGAGTTACAAACCTAGCAACATGTTCAAGTACGTAAGTTTTTTACATTGTTGCTACACATTGCTCAATAACAGTACATTAGAATTACATTATACTCTTTAAAATAGATTACTTTTGCCGCTCTCTTCACGATCGCCACTGCCGCATCCAGCTTCATTGCTCAACCCGTTGTGGCCAAAGTAGGTGCCGTAGTTCACACCGTTCCATCTGCCACCTCCCACCAAAGCATCATTCAAGTTCACAACAACGCTCACATTGTTACGCCGGTTGTGAAGGCCGTGACTCCAGTGGTTGAGACCTACTCTGCTCCTGTAGTTCCAGTCGTCAAAACTGTTGCTCCAGTTGTCCCTGTTGTTCATGCTGCTCCCGTAGTTCCAGTAGTGAAGACTTACTTCGCCCCGGTGATTCATCATGTTCCGGTTGTGAAGTCAGTTGTTTCCCACGTGGTTCATGCTGCTCCAATTGTAAAATCAGTTTTCTCAGCGCCTGTTGCCCACTTAGTTCATCATTAAATTCACGTTTTGTGTTCATTGATAATTTTTACCCATTTTAAATAAATATTTAACATATTGTTGAAATTACTTGGAAACGATTTACATGGTGCATTCCAAAGTAAACAGGACTTAAAAAAACAGAACTTAAAAAAAAAACAGAACAAATGGTATTTTCGGCAAAATAAATTTATTTTATTCAAAATAGTCTCCTTCTGCTTCAATACAGCTTTTTCCACGGTCCAAAACATGTCGAACGAGTGTTTTAGCTCGAAGTTTTGGAGATGTTCAATTCCATTTCCATGAAACTCAAAGATTTCGGCTGATTTTTGATGAATTCACGCACAGTTTCGATGGAATTTCCGGTGATCACGAATTTTGAATGGGCCACATGGGATAGGCAATCATCGCCATAAACTTGTTTCATCAATTAAAACGTTGCGGTAAAAGTTTTATCGATTTTAAAACAAAATTTAAATTGGCTCTTTGTTCCAAGCTCATTTTTGCACCGATAGCACAAACATACTGACACTCAAAACGCAATAACTTCATTTCCAATCAATGAAATGTCATGAAATTCTCACTGGACAATCGATAAAGATAGCAGATTCTAACACTTCAGTTGACATATAGATGACGCAACCATGAGGCGCTAGATTCATAAAGTCCTGCTTACTTTGGAACATACCTTGTATATGCATATAATATCTATTTTATTTATCGCGATTAGTTTTAGGAAATACAAACAGCCGTTAGATGAACCAAACTGTTATTCTGTAACAGTAATATATTTTCCGCATACTCTTGTTTGTTGTTTCCGTTATAAAATCTAAACTTTGACACCTCCGAACCAAAATACATATGTATATAATATCCTCGAATTTAGTAGTGTCGGCAAAGATAAGCCTTAGATAGACTTTTACATCCAAATAAGCGCAATTAAATGTGCAGAGGGAATGGACATACTCATAAATAAGCTGTGCTTTTTCGAGTTCCACAACACCAAAAACGCGAAGCGAGCTCATGAATGTGAGTGAGTTAAGTACATTTACTACTTGCATTCCACAACCGCTCATAAGCCGAATTTATTACGTTTATTTTTTATTTTTTATTTTTTTGGTGGTGTTTCGTTAAATTTGGGGAAACTTGAAGCTAACCAGTACACACTTTGGGCTTTGTATACACAACCAAAGTAGTAAAGCAATAGCAACAATGTTGCTGAGCAACACGCAACATTTGATATTCAAGTTCAATGCAAACATGTCTCATGCGACAATTATATTACATAAGTCGACAGGTATGTCGTGGTAGACGCACAAGTGTACGATACAGTACTCTCCACGTAATTAAATTCTAAAATGAAATATTTCTTACGGATTGATTTAATTTGGTTTGGTTTTAGATTTGGTGTGGATAAGGCCATGCGTTTATAAAACTCCCGATCATTTACAGAAGTTCCTCAGTTTTGGTAGGCGTGATTTGATGGCGAATCCCTCAGCATGGCGATGTTGGATAGAGTTTTTAATTCCGATTGAACAGTGTGCAGTTAGAACTTCTACAATCTTTCAAATGGTTCCTTCCTGGAGACGAATAGTTTTTTAGACCTCCCACGATTTACCCTGGGCCAGAAAGACATTGAACTGCAAACCTGGTTGTAGTTGACCAACTCTAGTTGAGCTGGTATCGGGCCCCACAATCCAGTTGTGATCCACAAAAAGAAAACGGAGATCGTACCTATTCCAATATCACAGTTATTGAGACTGAAGTTGATGTCCGAGTATGCTCATCAGCTATACAATTCCCTGTAAACTTAATAACTCGACAAACTTTTTGGAAAAATATGGCAATGACAAAACCTTTACGAACTTTAAATTTCATCACTTATTTGTTTCACAAAAATAAATTCGAACTGGCAACTTATTAAAGCGTTGATGTACCGCTTTATTAAGTCCGATAGAGCTTGATAGTGGAGCTATATATAGAAGTTCACATTTGAAGGCGAACTAAAGTGAAAAGGCGACCATCCCGCCACGTAAAAAATTACCCCAATGAAAATAACAAAACAGCCTCGGATGAGAGACCCCTCTTTTGATAAACCCCACTTCAAACGTACAAATTATTACGATTTAAGGGCATGCACGTAGAATATCTAGTCTCCTAATTGGAAAGGTGGCGCTGAGCAGCTGTTTAATGTCCTCGTGAGAGTGATGGCTGAGATCACCGCTGACAAAAAAGTGCGATGTATGGGAAAAGGACTGAAGCGAGTAGGTCCTTGTGGCATTTACTATAAGGGCTATATAAAGAGCGCAAATTCGTTATGGGATTAGAATCTTTCATCTCCAAATGGGTGGAGGCTGACCCAATTTCCAGCATAGGTGTCTACGCCAATAAAGAAGACGAGGTAATTTGCCACAGGAAAAAGTACTTATGTTCCGTTACGAAAATAGATAATAACAATGTCCAATTATATCAATGATGGTTTCAACATAGCCAAAACCATACTTCTTTATCCTACCAATGAAATTGAAATTAACAATTCAGTTGCTTTATCTTTTTCCTTTCTTTAATAAAACTCATCAATACTAAAGGTCTTGTCCTGACGAAATATTGACCTCCAGGCGCCTCTGAAAAGGGACAGACATAGCTTCTTCTCCTTGGTTACTCCAGTAGAGACACAGTCTACCTCTACGTCTTTTACCATGGATACTCGTTTCGAAAATGTCTTTCTCCGGAGCGCCTCGAACTCGATTTCCTCTGCATGGCACGCTTGCAGAAGTTCAGATCTCAACCACAAATTGTCAAAGTTCATAGCATCCCTTTCCGTTATTATTGAGTGGTAGCGATTCCCATTCACATTAACGTACCGGCCTTAATCATAACGGAAGAAGTACGGTAAACACAACGGTCACTTATTTATCTCACTGCCTTTGGAACTTTTTTACTTTGCCTGTGGATTCAAATTTTTCCATTAGCGCTCATTTGTAGATTGGATTGGACGATTATGACGACCATAAATTGAACGTAGCGCTTTTAAAGTTGAGGCCGTTGACTCCAATTTCGGTAGTAAATTTTAATTATTTCAACTGATTGTTGAATCGTATTTCCTTCCTAGATAAAATGGCAAACCTTGCTGAAGAGAAATGTTAAAAGAGCGGGATAAAATATGCCGTCGTTTTCTGTCCGTGTCGGTCTACTTTTATACATAGCATCCCTCTTGAAAAATTCGTAATAGACAATTAAAAGCGACTGCTAAATGTTCAAAGTTCTAACTTTTACATGCAACGCCTATAATAAATTAACATGAAATTAATAGTTCCGTATGCACTTTGATTGCCTACTATTGTCGTTTCTCGCGAAATAAAACTTGTTGGGCATATCTAATCTTTATTCCAGGTATTCACACATTTGTACGGCTTAAATAATTCAATAATAATCGTATCGTAAACTTCTTTCTGCTAACTACTAAAGCAAACCACATTCACTAATACTCAGTGCACTTAGTTAATAATATCAACAATACAATTCATATGTATATATATTTACAACTATCTACCAAAAATAAGAAATACAACAAGCTATTGTTAAACGCCGAATTTTCGCAAACAACTTAGCACATGCATATTGCACAAGCGCTCACTTAAATACGTTTAGATAGTTTATATACACCAGTTCGCATTAGTCATATATTCCAACCCACATACAGCGCACGCGCCCTTCACTCAGGCACATAGACGGGACTAATATCCAACACCTCGTGTCGCTCGTCCAAGCGTTCGTTTCGCGCCAATGTGCGATTCACATCCAACGGTTCCACATAGCCCAACGAACGACCCATGGGCGCCAATACGAGATGCGCATGCGTTTGTGATGAACCCTGATAGGAGACCACCGAAGGCGCCGCATCGATCACAATACCCGCCGCCGCAACACGCTCCACCGGCTGAGCCAGGCAATGGTAATGGAAAACCACGCAGCTGAGGAAAAGCGCGACAAATGTGGAAAACTGCAAGAAAAATGTTCGTGTGCGTGTGTGTGAAAATGTGAATGCCAGTTGCAATAGTAAAACAGATTGGCTAAGCCCCGTTTACGGTTATACAGTTGTACTTACGTGCTTCATGTTTACGTGCTCGAACAATTCCAATTCTTCAAAACACTCGATGCTTAGCGCGCACTGCCGAATTGACAGTTGACTAGGAAAGCGCAATGCCGCGGACAGACTGACTGGCTGACTGATCGCTGGCTTGGTGGTTCGCCAGCCGCTTGGCTCACAGACTGACTAACTTTGCTGAGCGCATGAGCGCGGTGAGTGGGTACTTAGTGAGCCGGGCGACGCTGCCATAAAGTATTGGTACGCTCCAGTACTCGAGTAAAGTATCGCTGCGGTTGCGGTAAAAACTTGATTTCATATGCCCACAAACATACGTACGTTAGTAAATACAAAAATAACATGGCAATATGTGACTAGATAAGTAGTGCTCTAGGGTATTTGTGTTTACCTTTGCCTTTTATTGGAATAGTCAATAACAAAAGTACAAAAAAATAGCATTAACAATGCAATGGAAGCGTGTAAAATGAGGCAAGAAATAAGAAACGTCAATGGAGCGCACACTATGCGTAATTTGCGCGCCATTAGAGGAGTGGCAGATAATTGTCATACCCTTCACCCACTCTTTCAGTGTACAGTGCATGTTGTTGCAAACATTTTACATTGCAGCAATACATTTTACGTTTTTACGTTAGCACCGCTACAGAAGTTTACCGTCTTTGGTGGCAAATCAAATGACTAGATCTCCATCGAGTTGGAAAATGGGAAAAAATTGTTCACACCGAGTCATATAGGATATAGGCAGACATGACGGCTCTGGCGCGACCGAGAACATAGACCCCAAAGCTACTCAATACCATTGAAACCATACAAATGTTGCTAGCAGTGGTGGATTTCAGAGCAACTTCTCCGATCTTGGAACACCATCAAAACAGAATGTACTCGTACCATGACTAAAATTATTATATTTTTAGCAAAAGGGTAATTGGGTATATGGTCGTGGTCAACCTCTCAACCTTCATTTAATGGAAATCCCATATTAGAGAGCCCGATTTGATAATGATGAATCATTAGCGCCTTACTAGATGGTATACAGTGAGCAGCCTGTGCAGGGATTAGCGGGGATAGTAAGTGATGTCCGACTAATGCGCTCAATATAATTCTGCATCATCTGCTCGTAGACGTCTTTATTTGGAAAGTAGCAACAAGTTCTGGTATAGGAATAAAGGAATTGTAAAACTTAAGTAAATCCAACTATTTCCTCCGAAAGTTAGATTCAATAGCCATTTCTGGGTAAAGATACCCTGTAGACAGTTCAGTAGGGGAAGATGCCACATCTTCTATCTATACCGACGTATACAAAATGGGCTGTGAAGTATGCTCAGCTGTATACTGGAATGATGTGAAAATCTCACTGCCTCTATCTGACAACGAAATTCAAATCCTATTTTCCTAGAATTTTATTTACATATTTACAACTAAAAAGGAACATTTGGCTCTCACGTCACTCTTGATAGTAATAAATTCTTGCCACCAGTATTAGCACCAACAACAACGTCAGCCACGAAATCCAACGCAGAATAAATCCTACCAACAGGTGCTACCTTGTACTGAGTAGGCAATTGAGAAGTAAATTTCTCTCTCGACGAACAAACACCAAATTGTACAAGTCACTCATCATCCCCGTCCTGCTATATGATGTAGATTCATGGATGATGAGTTATGAGTTTTCGAGAGAAAGGTTCTGTGAAAGATTTATAGTCCTTTGCGCATTGGCTACGAAGAATACGATGAGATATGATAGAACAATATACGACAACTTTGGTTCAACTTAGTTCAGCGAATTAAGAGATAGCAGCTACGCTGGATACATCATGCCATCCTTATGGATACTCTGAGAGTATTCGACGCAGTACCTCTTTGAGTATGCATACTCTGACTAAATACTGTTTTCAACCCGACTTTATTTCCATTTCAAATTATGCTTATAGGGTATAGAAAAATTGTAGTAGAACCCCGACAAATACCAACTGCAAGTGCAAACTACAAAATAGCGATCAAAAGGCAATAAATAAGAAAAGTTAACAAGCAAAGTTATTTAAATTGTTGGCGTTGTAGGTGTCAGCAAAGCGCTTGCAGTGTTGACTTTTTCTCCAGCTCAGGCTCTTAGGTTACGTAAGAGGCTTTCGTGAAAGAAGTAAACGGAATAAAATAAGCTGTGCAATTTGATGATAAAAAAAAAAAACATAAGAAATAGAAAAAAAACAAGCCATAAGCTATTGAAGGTTGATTGAACACGGTATTTGTTGTGCGCATGAGCAGCAGCGCCCTAATACAAACATACAAAAGTATTGAGTTCGAAAAATATTGAATAACTACATTAAATGCTTAAATGGCCTGCAGCAAATGAGCAAAGCATCTTGTTAAGATATAAGGTAAGCACGCACAGATCTACATAACTACAATACATATTTTATACGAATGTGTTATGTATGCAATATACATATATATATATATGTTTATATGTACATATATGTATGTAAAAGTATTCAAAACCGCCAAAAAGCAATTGCGTTCAAATTAGCTCAGTTAAAGTGTTGGCAATTGTAACCGCAGAGCAATGCCGCAGAGAAACACACTCCTTAATGTGCCCTGCAGGAAAATTTGAGTACACAGGATAGTGACTACTTGAAAATAAATGAAGTATGACTTTTTATGATACAACTTCGGTTACTATAATATCCTTCACAAATAAAAAATTTTTCTGAGAAGAACTTTACTCCGATAGTTCAGTTTGTGTGGCAGCTATACGCCATATTTGAGCCGATCTGAACAATTTTCTCGAAAATTGCATTAATGCTTTAGATAATAATCCAAATTTCGTGAAGATATACATATATATTTTATAGAGTATACGACAAATCCTTCTGGATGTTATAAACTTCTTAGCAAACTTAATATACTCCGTTCAGTGTATAACAATTTCGGGGAAATGACCGCCTGGTTCGTCTAAATTCCAGCTGAGTGTTCCAAGTTTCGATGAATTTTGGCAACAATTGGATCGTATGTCAGCAAAAACGTGCCGAAAACTCTCTTCCCAAACGTCTAGGGCTTATCTGCGCAGATATATGACTATACATAACCCTACAAAAAATTGTCCAACTTATCCCACCATGTAAAATTATGCCCTCACCAAATAGTTACCGTGAATAAATTGATTGTTTCTATGGTTATTTGGCATATAGCATCGTCTTGTGGAAACCAGATTGTCTGCAAAAACATTTTTCAATTCAGGCACGAATAAGAATAATTAGTCATGGCTCCATAGCGTTCCCCATTGTCTGTAAAGATGAGCGGGTTGATTTACAGAAAGGCAAAACAACGAAAAAGGATCATTCTGAAAAACTTTGCCTAAAAGAATGTGTGTCTAAAACTAGTTTCGAGCTGACGATTTTTAGGTGAACTTTAATTTTTGGGGATAATAAAAACTTCTTAGACAGTATTTGAGTTATCCAATGAAATTGAAAACATGGAAGCGTTTTGAAATTCTATTCATTATTTGTCGAAATCGGCAAGATCGAACAGCCTCCTACTCGTATTAAGCCGATTATGCAATTTCTTTATTTTCACCTAAAAAAAATCACTCGCTCGAAAGCGGGTGTAGACCCATATTCTCCTAGGAAAAAACGAAACGAAAAGAAACCCCTAGATAAAATCATTCACGAACTCACGGCACCGAGCTCTTTTTCCAAGATAACACTTCCCTTCAGGCAACTTGTGATGATACCAATAAAATTAGAGAACTAGTTCCCACACCGTATTCGTTAAATTTGAGCCCTACAAATGATTTTCTAATTTCCAGGCTTTCAGTGGCTCAGTGGAAAGAGTTTCACTCAAGTAGGTCTTTACAACAAATACATTGTCATATATATCACCTACATATATAATTGTCATTGTATATCACATTGAAAAATACAGACATACTTTCATTCAAAAAATATTTTTTCATTGTTAGGCCAAAGACCTTCCAGCAGATTTAGTATGAATTCAAGCTTATTCTTTATTAGCGAAGACCGCTTACGCGGTCATAGCCGAGTTTACAACAGCGCGCCAGCAGTTCTTTCTAATGGCAGTTTAGCGCCAATTGGAGGGTTCAAGAGCCAGGTCTTTCCTCTTCCTCTGCTTGCGCTGGCGGGGACTGCGTTGAATACTTTCATCCATTCAGCCCACATGACCAAGCCATCGCATCCGCTGTCTCTTAATTAAAGCTCACAAAGCTCATCGTTCCATCGAATGCGATATTCGCCGTGGCCAATGCGCAAAGGGCCATAAATCTTTCGCAGAATTTTTCTCTCGAAAACTCGCAATGTCGACTCATCAGATGTTGCTATCGTCCATGTCTTTGGTCTTTGTTCGTCGGCAGAGGACTTTACTTCTCAATTGGGTACTCAGGCCGAAGCAACACCTGTTCGCAAGAGCTATCCTGTTTTCGATTTCGTTATTGACGTTCTGACATTGTTGCTTGTGTCATTACTGGTTCCAAAAGAGACGAAGTTAACTACTTCGAACTTCTTCGAAGTTATGTCTGTCCACAGTGATATGGGGTCTCGAGTACGACGACTGTTTTTTTGATGACATTAGATATTTTAGTCTTAAGAAAGTAAATCTAACGGTACGGGTGTTGGGGCCAATATCATTCTATTCATATCTGCAGCTCCAATTATTTTTTCAAGCAGTAGATTAAAGAAGTCGCACAATAGGAAGCCGCCTTGTCCGTTTAGTATCGAATGTTCGGGGAGGTCATTCCAAATCCTGACGGAGCTGTCGGTATTGCTCAAAGTCAGCAATCAGAAATATATATGTACCACTCTTTAGGTCTTGTAAATGAAAGGAACGCGCCTGAAGAAATAATCGGATATTTAATGTAATCCCAACTCTTCTTTTTAATTTCAATAAGATAGTACGATCTTACTATGGGTCTTTCTGACATAAAACATAAAAGAAGATTTCTAAAAAAAAATCTTTTTAGTTTCCTACAAGGCGTTCTCTATGCATTAAAGAAACACGTCTGAAGAAACACATGAGTATTTTAACCAAATTATTGTACGCCACTAATTAATCACCAAAAACTTTATTTACTAATATTCCATTTTTTTCGGTGAGATGCTGTCAGTGCAACTGACCTTAACCGTTGACAAAAACATAGTGCAGAAATGTGTTTTCCCGCTAACAGTGAAGACAGATACCGTTAGTGCTTGAATAAGCATATGCAAGCCGTTGAAAATGTGACTCAAGATTTTCGAAACGCTAAACCGCATAAACATTTGCGGCTGTTGCATACGCGGGACTCCAGTTCAAGGCGCCAGGCAACACAGTCAGTCCCCACAAATGCGCTTGTCATTGCGACTGCAACGTATAAATTCAGTTCACGCTCAACAAAGCTGGTAATCTCATTTTGCGTAGCGCGTCAAACGCATTGTCTCCAGGCAATAAGAATGTACACTGAAGGAAAAATCCACATCAATATGGTAATGTTTAAAATTGCATCTACAAACTCTAAATATTGTATTTATATCTGTTTACTCTGCAGCAACAGCAACTTTTACTTATTCTCATCACCAGCTTTGCGACATGTCGAGCTGGCCTTTTGGCCCTGTCACCGGAAGATTTCCAGCAAGCGGGTGACATTAAAATCGCCACCATTGTGCATAACGCACCCTCAGCCGTCTCGCACACCACATTCACACGTGTGCATAATCATCGTGACAGCGGCCAGACCACGCAGCCACAACTCGCCAGTACTGTAGCCACACAAACGACGGAGGTGCATCAGCCGAAGCCGTCCGTTGCCAGCCAACCCGTCTACACCCCGCAACAGTTGAGTGTATTCCCAACGACAATTATAAAGCATGAGTTGCCAAAAGCTCCGTTGCTAGACAGTGCTGCGGCTACAGCCGCTGCGGGCAACGGTGGAACACCAATCGCCAACTCATTGACACATACGCCAGCACATTTGACCTATTCTGCACGGCCCGTGGTGTATCAGACGCTTCCGGAAATAAAGCCGGTACGAAAAATTAGTTTTGATGAATCAGTGCCTAGTCCAAGGAATAAGCAATATTACGGTACCCATTAGCATTGAGAACTGAAATAAAATAATGCTATAAATAAAAAAAAAATTCGTACACAAAAAAGGCGGAGGACTTTAGAGTAAATTATTATAGTTTCGAAAGAATTTACACTTTTTCAAATTTCCAAGCAGCTATACTGGCCTTGAGTTCGCTGACTATGAACTCAAAGCTAGTCAAGGAGTACATAACTTTTATAACAGTAGGATCCAGCTAATTCAATACAAACTTGTCTATGTTCATGGCAACAGCCGAATCGGCGGAAATGGTAAAGCCTATGAGCTCCCTAAAAAAACACTCATACATAAATTCCTTCTGGATGGAAAGCAGGCGTTCCCACGTTGCGCAGAGTCTACGCGCAAGCTCAGCAACCACACTGATTTTGAAGAACACAAATTGTTTATGAAAAAGATGAAAGGGAAACATCAAGATACTTTCTCTACTCCAGCTTTCGTCAGGCAAAGGTTAGGTTAGTTAATTGGCAGGGCAATAAACCACACATAGACCGATTTGGTCCTTGCGATACCAGATGGAGTTCACTTGCTAAGCCCAAAAGGAGTAGTCATCCTTAAAGATGTCTGCGCTTGATGCAAATTGTAAGAGATTCTGCGGTCTCGCTGTCGATACCTCCTCCAGTTTATCATACTGTGGGGATCCCAGATGCTCCCAGCGTAGTCTTACCAATGCGAGAATTGCACAAGAATTGCTCCATTGTTTTCCTGGTGTCCTGCTCTAGGCATTTCCTGCAGTTTTTTCGATCTGTTAGCCGCATCTTGCAGGCAAACGTTGAAGCATTTCGGTTGTCATACTTTTACCGAGATAAGTTAGAACTTTCGGCTGCAGTTGTTCATAGCTATCAGTTCTTATTGTCGATGTAGAAACATAATAATTTTTCGAAAACATCTGTGCCCGAATATAACCGAATATATTACGGTTACGTAGACTATCATGAGAAAGGGGTTATTAATAAAACAATTAAAATATAGTTTAATTTTGTTATTCCAAAAAATATGAACTTAAGGAAAATATTGAAGCCGAAAAGCATGTGCGCACTATAATTTTGAATTTTCAATTTTTAAATAAATTTCTTATATGTAATATAATCAGCCTGGAACACAGTAAGCAGTTTCAAAAGATTTTAAAGTAAATAATAGCTAGATCAGCGATGAGAGCATCCATTGGCTCATTGTTTGTATTTGTAGTTGGCACTGCTGTTGGCGGTGTTTGCATTCGATGTGACGCTAGCGCTGGCGCTTGCACTCGTCTTTGCATTACCTGAACGGATGAGCGTGGTTTCAGGTGCGAAGATGAGCGGGGTGTGATAGGCGCGCAACACTTGTGACGTGATTGTACGCACTGCGGGTGCCACAATGGGTGTGACCACACGCGCATGCTTGTGCACCACCGTCTGACTCTGATGCGACACGGCGGTTGGTATTTTCTGCACCACTTCACCTACCTTGGCGAGAGTCGGCTCGTGAATTGTTATTGTTTCCGGTGCGATAATAGTACGTAAGCCTGGCCGTGTCGAGATGGTAATAGGCAGCGAGAGGGTCTCCGCGGGCAAGATTTGATGTTGAATGGATGCTGTGGAGCTGCTGCCCGACGGTAATTTCACTGAAGACGATACACGTAAGGACGAACGCGATGCCGATGCCGATGCAGAAGCCGAACCAGCAGAAGCGACAGCTTTTAAGCGTGCTAGGGAGGATGGAGCCGGTGCTATACTACCTGATGATGGTGCAGAGTTGACTATAGCTGTGACTGATGCGGGCGCAAGAGGTTCCTGTTGCTCTCTTATTGCAGGGCCCGTCACGTCGTTTGTCTCCTCGTCTTCACCCGATGTGACGGCGTTCGATTGTAACTGTTGTTGCTGCGGCTGTTGTGGATATTGGCTTTTGGCTGTCAAGGATATTGTCTGGGACGGCTTAATGGCTGCACCGCTGCCGATGCCGCTGCTGATGATGTTGTACAGACCGTCCGGCTCTGGTGAGGCAACACTGCACACAATGCAAGTGCTTAGTAGTAGTGGCAACTGCGGATGGAGATTTATGAGTTGAAATATGTGTATAAGCAAGAGCTCTTAAGTTATTTAATTAAGGCTCACCAATTTGAACATTGCTATGTCGCACAATCTTTCAAAATGTTTGCTTTAGAAAATACCAGTGTCTTACTGATGCTCCAGCATTGTTGTCAGGAAGCTTTTATACTCATTAAATGCCGTTGCAGCTGAGTGATTTCGCGTCAGTCGTGCGCATAGAACATCTTGGTATTGGGTTTCATATAAATTTATATATGCACTGCTATAGAATAATGCTACATTTTCATCGCCTCAGTGGGCAGATGATTGAAGCTTTCAATGGTGGGTGAAATTACGTATCTGTAACCTGTTTGTGTATTATGCCACCGACACAATAAGTGTGATATAATTTTTAAAACAACATAATGTCCATAATAATGTATATGTTGTTGCTTTGTCATTCCGGTACAGTTTTTATTTATTGTTTGATCGCGAAACTAAGTCTTTTTTTACTTCTAATTCCATTTTGCGTTGATTATCAGTGTGTTCAATATTCCAACTCCGTCTGTCTGTATATACGCGAACTAATCCCTTAGTTTTTGAGATATCGACCTGAGAGTCGGAACCGCCGATATCGGACGCAGGATAAAGTTTTCCCATTTCGTCTAAAGTAGTTTTATTCGAGGCATATACTTTCGAAAGTAGCTTTCAAGTCGATAAATTTGCGGGCATGGTAATCATTAGGTTGTCAAATATCACCCTCCCGCCTTTTTGTCTTTGTTTATGTCTTGTGTCTATGTATAAACCATCTACTGCGAACAACTGGACCGCTTGAAGCAGGCGATCGACCAGAAGCATCCAAAATTGGTCAACAGAAAGGGTGTAGTGATCCACCAGGAAAACCCTAGACCACACACTTTTTTGATGAGTCCTCAGAAGCTACTCGAACTCGGATGGGAGGTTTTAACGCATCCACCATATAGCCCGAACATAGCGCCAAGTGATTACCACCTGTCCCTGTCCATGGCGAATGCCCTTATTGGTGTAAAGTTGAACTCAAAAGAGGCTTGTAAAAAGTGGCTGTCCGAGTTCTTCGCAAATAAGAAGGGGAGCTTCTACGAGGGGGGTATTATGAACCAAGTTACCGTCTAGATGGAAACAGATTATCAAACGAAACGACGCATATTTTAACTAAATTCGATCAGTGTAACACTTTTTATAAAGCATTGATTAAAGATCAAAAAAGCGGAACCAAACCGTTGTTTATTTCTGAATGAAATGGTAGCTCTTGAACCTCTTCCGGTTGCTTTTCACCCCAAATGCTTCAATTTTATTTGTTTACATCATACCTATTGAGCAAAAAATGGGACTCATCGCTGAACAAAATTTAGCTCGAAAAGTGAGATCTTCTTGGAACTAAACCATAGAGTAAATTGATGTCGCTTGGGTAGGCCGAACTGTATGTTGTAGCTTCAATTTTTACTCCTTATACTCACCTTTTCCAAAGATATATAACATAAATACTATGGTAAACTATAATATGGTAAATGTTTTGTTGCAAAGGTATAGCTCTATAAGAAAAAAAATAAATGGTACTATTAATGCTGCCCTCTGGCTTAGAGAATATCCTCTGAATTACTAAACAAGTACGTTTACAAGCCAAACTTAGTCCAATAAGGACTCTACGAGCCACAAACACGTATTTACATATAATTATGCAGAAGAAATTTAGCAAAACATTCATTAACTATTGATGAGGTATATTTAATACCTCTTTTAATGTATTTGTTATTGATGTCGCGACATCCACATTGTTGAGTCTGTCGTTATGTTCAAAGCCATAGCCACAGCCGTCTGCGCCTTTGTTTTTTGTTGCTCCCACAGCGACAGACAACATACTGCCTATTCTAGAAAAATATGTATGTACTATATGTATGATTGGACGACTTAGGCTCATAAGCAATATACTTTTAGACATAAAGTAGGATGTTCGTAAATGCCACAAAAATATCACACATCCTCATACAGACCTACGTACACACACTAAAATTCTTCATTACTTTGTGATGCGCAAAAATATTACGAAACATTTGTTATGACAGATGTTAAAGCTAAAGGCAAAATGAAGCTGAAAATATGTTCATGTAATTATGTCTATACGCCCACTTCAAGGCTTAAATTTTGTCAAGCTCGTATCTACATATAGATATTACGTTTTACCTGTGTTTTCGTTATGAAAAATGTGTCAGTTTAATGCAAAGATCTCGGTGTTAAACGGCATCGCATCACAAAAGTTCCGCGCTCACACTATCATATCATAAGAAATACTTACATTTAAGGGCAAATATTTTAAAGAAAAAATACAGAAACTTCAAATTTACTGGGGAATGCTTAGTATCATTCGAAAGAACATTCTTTAACATAAACTTTTTGAAGATTATCACTTTCAAATGTTGGCCAAACATTTCGACTTTAACCGGCGTATGACTCGCGTAACGTTTTGTTCCAAGGCCTGAGTCAAAGTATAGACTTTTCACCTTACACATCCGCAGAAAATTCTAATTGATATCACACACTATCCAAACGATTGGTCCAAAACGTGAAATTATCTACTCACCGAAGTGTTCTTTCCATTGATTGACGTCTTGTTGAAACCAAATTTCGCCAAGATCACGAGCTTCCATTTCAGGAATCAGTAGGCCGATTATATTGACCATAAGTAAAGTGAAGTGCGCGAAACATATTTTTACAGAACGTGAATTTGTGTAATAAAGTTTAACGATTTATTCAGGCAATAGTTTTTCCATACCAAAGAATACTAAACAAAAATAACATGACTCTTGGTACAACTCACACGTGATCTATCAAAATCGGCTATTGAAGGAAGTACTTGTAAATGACGGTGCACTGGCTCTTTGGAGGTCATACGCTAAAAATAGGACTGCCTTATAATAATATTTGCCGCAGTTGCGAGCTAGAAGGTAATGAGGAAACGGTTTTTAGCTGCCTCTGTGAATACCCAGCTCTATCCTGAACCCCATACAAAATACTAGGAACTCATCAGGCACCACGCCTTGAATGGCATGAGAGTACCAAATGGTAGTAACGATGAAACAAGACAGCAGAATAACATATAAGGACGTACAAAAATCCATCAAAATGGCACATTCAGTGCTGATTAACCCCA